ATATTATCGCCCTGTATTATATTTAAAGAAATTCAATAAAGAGGAATCTGCGTATATATGTTCTTCGCACTGTGATAAAACGACGGTACCTAGAGCCGTCACATTTTAAATAACTTACGTCTCCACGCAGCTGGAAGCCCAAATTTGGAATTTGTTTTATTATATATTTCATATTTTGTAAAGTATTAAGGAGTTTTTGATTAAGAAACTCAACGACTTCGAAGCGAGCAATGGCAGCAGTGTACGGAGAAATATTTTGCGATATTGCTGTGGTTTTTATGGTTTAAGTACGAAGAACATGATATTTAATAAATAAAAATAACACAAAAAACGTTAAAAAAAGCCCTTTGGGCGTAATATAAATCTGAAAAAGTTTCAGGTATTTTTTGTGTAAATTATTTTACTTTTCTGTTTTTATCTTCATCAAATTATGGAGTTTCATGAAATCAAGAAGCTAAATTCAGTTAGGTAAAGAAAATCCATTATCATAACATAACTTTGCATATTTAAATACAACTAGCGGCCAAAGCAAAATTTATAAGTTCTGAAAAGAAAATTTATAAAAACCTGAAAAGAAACTGTATAAAAACATTTAAATATAAATGAAATCACAGTTCATTCTTTCCAAGCAACAACTAATTTATAAGTATTTTTTCGTTGCCGAGCCTGGAATCAAAATTTTTTGGCGCATCAGTTTAATATATATTACCTCATGATTTAGATGTAATGCCATTTAACTTTTTCTGAATATCATAAAAAAATTAACCTTGCAAAACGTACCGTGTCAGTTACCTTCACCTGAAACAAAAAAGTTGCCAACGGCAGCTATTTATTTAAAATGCTGGCATTAACGATCAATTTTCGACATACAATGACGTCATGCGCAATCGTGTTCTTTCTTCAACGTCAAAACGTGACCTTATATTATAATAGTAATATTTTTTATGTTTGGCAATGCTGTTTTTATTTCATATTTTGTAAAACTTGTAAATTTTTTATTAACAAACACTACGATTTGAAGTTGCGAGAAGTAGCAACACTTTACGAAATATTTTTATCTCCAGCTAGCGAGACTGAGAGTTTTTAATTAATATCTCGTTCGGTCTTACGAAAATGAAGTCTTACGAAAAGGAGAACGGTCGAAATGGCTTCCCACGAATTTTTGGAATCCGAGGGAACTCTCGAAACTGAGCTTCGTTACAGACAGATGCGCACAGATTTTTAATACAGTCAAAAGTCGTTAATTCGGACACCCATAATCCGGAATGATCTATAATCCGGACCTCAAAGCTGAAAACTTTCTGCGCGTGCGCCGCGTTGACACATGCGCATAGGCGTTTACGCGTGCGCGTAAGACCTTTACGACTGCGCATATGTGTGTGCGCAAGCGCAGAATACGTTTTCGCGTGCGCTTTTTGTGTATAACGGACGGTATAAGCTAAAATTATCTATTTCAGTTAATGTTGATGATTACGTTGTTCCTTAATCTTCGAATATTTCCGGCTTATTATTTTTTGCAGACTGTAAGAGCAATTTTATAAAAGTAAACTTGAACTTTCGATTATGTCAAATAGAATTTCTGATACTGGAGCTCCCAAAGGATCTACGAAACAAAAGTATGTTCCGATGTCCATCAAACGAAAAGTGGAATTGCTGCAAAAAATGGATAAAGACATGAAGAAGGTGACAGAGAGGTTAGTGAAAACGAAAAAATTTCGATTGACAAGTTAGTCGGTATTCTCGGCACAGCAATTACGCGGCGATTGAACAGCGGAACGTTGTAACTGAACAAGAAATTATGTCTGTTTATAGAATTAAAGAGAAAGTATTATCTCATAAAATGAAGCAACTTAAACAACTTACATTGAAAGAAATGTTTAATAAAGTAAACAAATATTAAGCTTTTTTTTTTTTTTGTAAATTTTGATACCCTTTAGATCATAAATGTTCTTTATTTCATAAATTACGTCCGGATTAACGACTTTTGACTGTAGTATAGATAGATGATTATCGATTTCGTAATAGTCGTATTAATGCGTCGTATTAATACGTATAATAAGTCGTATTAATACGTATAAATTTATTTTAAGTGTGATGGAATTAATTAAAATTTATTGAGTGTCATAAATTGCGGAGTAGTTATTTATCTTGCATTGTAGAGTCATTAGGTATGTCGAAGTAAAAGCCCACCAGCGGCCGAGCGATAAAGTAGCTGAACACTGGTAGTTTCGTCCGAGTTTCGAATCCCGGCGAACGGGTTGGGTGCGTGGGTGTTTTTGTGGTTTTCTACATGTGTAACGTGTATAAGAGCCAATTTCCTTTGGAAAGCCTTTTACTAATCTACTCCTCTTTTTAGGCAAATTGCCCTCGAGTGCTTTATTGTAATCAAATAAAGTAATTGTCAAAGTAGGAATTGTCATCTATGTGCAATGCTCAATAGAATCGTACTCCTAACTTCCCTAGAGTCGAACTCGTAACTTCCCTATCGCTAGCCGGACATGCTTCCAAGAAAAAAATTACGTCACAACATTTGTAATACATTATTTTGCATTAATTACTACTATTGAGTTTAAGGAAATTTTATTAAGTGCATTAAAAGTAAGAGTGTCGTATATAGAATTGTGTATCCTTGTCGCCCCGCCAAAACCACATATTTCTAAAGTCACAGTTTCTAAAAGCTGCTTTTGAAGGTTTGAATATTATATTTTTATGCTTTTTTCTCCTTTGGAAAACATCGAAAAAGAATCATAGTACATAAAGCTGGAAGCAGATTAATAGTATTGGCATGAGACTAATGATAAACGAATAATTTATAAATATAGATTATAGACAAAAAAAAAAAAAAAAAAGAATAAATTTAGAACCAGATTTATACTATGTAATTTAAAGTTTATTTGTACGACATTTTTCAAAAGCATTTTTAAGTGTGGGTGTGAGAGATTTCGAAGTAAATTGAACTAAGTTTAAAACTTCACCATATTGAATTTAACTTCTTGTATTATATTAGTTGGTTACAAATAATAATTACAGGCATAATTTTCTAAATTATATAATTATTTTGGAATCCTTTTTTAAGTGTATGAAATATGTGTTACCGAAAAAATATGAAATCCAGCATTCTATGGAATGCCGAAAATTGGCCGGCAATGCATGAAACGATTAAACATTTCACACACTGCGTAAGCATTTTATAAAATACCAAAGGACAAACCGGCAAAGTGATGTAAAAAGCCAAAATGACTGCTAAGAAGGGATCACGGAACTGTTGGTTACTGAATCGCTGTGATGTGATGTTTGTGGGAAACAAAAGTAAACTCATTTGTTCTGTCAGAAGACGTCAGTTATTTCCCGTACTTCATGAAATTCATTTGGCTGTTGGGCATGGAGGCCGTGACACAATGTTGAAGGAACTTTAAACCAAATACAAAAATGGTGCATGGAATGATATTGAATTGTACATCCATCTGTGAGCCCTGCCAGAAAAAACGAAAAGGTATTAAAAAGAGCGTTATTGTGAAACCTGTGATTTTTCTGAATTTAATTCCCGTTATCAGGTAGATCTTATTGATTTCCAGTCGGATAACGAAGTACATTTATTATGGTGTCCGAAGATCATCTCACAAATATTTTAACGTATTTAGAATAAAAGTTTTTTTTTAATGGCAGTATCATTATTCTCTAAATAATAACTTATCATGACCTATTCATACTTTGCCTAAAGCGCATTTGTCAGTGTATACAATGCCTAGATAAAGTATATAATCATTCTCCTATTTCATACTTTGCCTCAAAACGCCACGCAATATGTAAAATACCGTTTCATACATTGCCTGTAATATATGTTTTTTAATCTGGAGCTTAAACTCACACTGTACCGAATTATTCATTTTTCTCTTAATCTTTCATATATGTTGATATCTATGTAAAGATATAAATCTTCAGTTTTCTTGCATGGATGTGTGTGTTTTTAACCTTTTATCTTAAAAGCAATTTACTTATGAGCATGTGTTCTTTCTTCTGCACCAAACTAAATTTCATTGCACTTCTGCAGCCAGAGGATAGAATATTCTTCATTTGTAAAAGACGGAAGTACGATTCCCGAAAGGAACAGCCAGTGATATTTTCTATTCTCTTACACATTATTAAGTTTTCTAGAAATGAGCTGGTTACAATAAATCTAATGTATCGAAGCTTTTTGATTAACACAACTCAACGTTTTCAAAGCGAGCAATGGCGGCACTGTACCGGGGGCTGCAGTTTCGTCCAACATTCGTTTTCCAAAATTCGAGAACGTTACAACAAGAGTTTATACTGTGATTGTAACAGTATAAATTAGCCGAGAACAAGTGTTGTAAATCAGAACGAGACAAAATCCGTAAAACTTTTCTTTTGGGCTCTAAAAACTGAATATATTGTTACTTATGGTCACTTGTTTGACAGTAACATCAGCCCATGCCCACGGAGCGTAAGATTACACCTGTCGCTGGCAACGGCCTTGATCATCGACAGTGCGATTTACCTTAGTTCCGTCCCCAAATTTTGATGGAAAGCACCCCTGTCCCACCTCTCTCCCCTTCCAAAAATAAACGGGAGGAATTTCGGCTAGCCGTGCCGCTATGCCGCACGGACATCCGTGCGTTCTCCGGGATTCGAACCCGGGCTCTACCGCACGGCAGTCAGCGACGCTAACCACTATATCGGTTGGGGGGCTAATCTGTGTAACTTATATTATGTAGAAGGGTGCATGTTGCTGAAGAATACAATTACTGGACTAAATGTATGTTAACACCGCGTTTTATTGAGAAAAAGGCATGCATGATGTATTTAGTATATATATATAATTTTAACTTCTGTAAATGATTCTTGTATTAAATATAATAAATGATTCTTCTGGCTGCAGTCTTTAATCTTAACTCACTAACTCCTTTACTAACCCGTCCCCAAAGAAGGTGCAGATTGTAATTAATTGATTCTTGAATTTGTAGCTATTCCTGTTTCAGTGACTCCTCGATGGCGCCACTGGGATGGCAACAGGCACCGGGGCAAGGGGCCCCTCCGTCGCAGGTCCCCCAACAGCAGCAGCTTTCCGTGGTGACAACGGTTTGGGGCGTCACTACTAGTACCCAGAGTGGTCCCATGGCGCACGGCTCCTACGGGGGCACCAACACGACCATGGCTCAGACCCCGTATTCAGGTGGTAGTCATCAGAACTCCTACCCTGGTACCATGACGCCCAAGTCCTACCCTCCCGTCATGAGTTCCAGGCAGAACGGACCTGGCTACAATGGGTAAGTCGACCGTTTATCATTATATCTACTGATTTTGTCTCAGTTTTTAGGAATGCAGTCTGATAATCAGTGTCGTAAATCGATCGAACGCTTTTTCTGTGCCAATTTCTAATTATTCCGTCGCTTTAGCATTGTATATCTGCCTGACTTATCTCACTTGTCTGACAGTTACATCATCACAGCTCTTTGTCACGAAGTTAATCGTGGCATGGAGTGCCAGATTGCGCCTGTCATTGGCAAGAGCCTTGAGCACCATACAGGTGGCAATACGACTTTGCTCAGTTAACTTTACTCACGCCGGGGCTTGAATCCCGGACCTGTGGACGCGCTAGCCACTGCGCCACGCACTATATTTAATGTCCTAGGATGATTATAAATTCGACTCAGAAAGAGCATGGATCAAAGTGTGCGAAAACGTTGGTCGTATGTTGATTTAATCAAGCAACAGGATATTGAGAAAGTAGTCTCAGTAAAACTGTGTAACGTTTTAATGTGTTTATATTAATATTTTTATAGATATATACAAAGTAAAAGGATGCATTTGGCAAACTTTATTCATATTCTCTTGTTGAAGTTTGTTTGAAGAAGGCTTTTTATTTAACCTTTTTCTTTTCGAACGAATAAACATTTACGTATAAATATTCCTATTTAATTTAACGCGTGTCGTAGTAATCAATAGTCGTAAAGTGTGTTTTGGTTGGATGAATATGTGTAACTTATTTAAACAGTAAGGAATAAAATATTTAGTATACTCGATTTAACAAAGAAAATGATGTTAATGGCTACAGATATGCTGGAATATGCTTGTTTTCTGAATCAGTTATTTCAGGAAAAGTCCGATTTTGTGTTAAAATATCTATATCAGAACAATGCTATGTATAAATCTAATATATATCCTAAGTGCTAAGTGTTGTATCAATAAAAAATTGATGTTTTACAGCGATATTTCTGTTGAGCAAATTATATATAATCAGAGTAAAAAAAAAAAATAGTAAAGTTCAGGTTTTGCCTCAGAATCAAGCCTGACATGAATGAGAATAAATTTCATCTTATTGTTTTTATATCGAAATAATAATGTATTGTGTATTCGAAGCAATAAATTAATTTCATTATTTAATTTTGCGGAGAAAGTGTGTGCTGTATTTTGCTTTACCTAAACGAAATACATTGTTCCTAAATGCTTTGCGGCTCCATTGAGTTCGAATATTTGAAGTTTCATACTTCTGAATTTGTCTGGCTTCGAAACTCTTGAGCGAAACGATCTAGCAGGTTGGAAATTCTCTTTCCACTCATCGTATTGACATGAAATCATTCGCAAAAGTAGTTCTTTCATAGTACAAGCCTAGATCGCTAGATCTCAATTTGTTTTGCTGCCCCATTCTCGAAATTAACCCTTTGCGGCACAGTGTGTCCGGTCTGGACACACCTAAAAATTTCCTTCTGTACTCACATAAGAATTGAATGAAAAAGAATTTATAGGTTACTCTGAACCTTCTTTATTTTTACAGTAGATGGCAGCTCAACACAAACGAGCCCATATATTTTAGCCATGTTTAGTTTTTTTAAGACCTTCATTTTTCAAAGAAATCTTCCAGATTTTTTTAGGGTATAAAAGGAATTGGTTGAAAAGAAATTTCTATGTTATTTTTTTGGCTGTATGCTAATCTTCTTATTCTATATTAGTTTTAAATTTTTACCTTGAAATCTTGCCTAAAATCAAACGGCGAACCCTAGGTGTGCCCAGACCGGGCTCACCGATCATCTAGGACAACTAAGATCTGTATTCTTTGTTTCTCCGCATCTCATCGGTCAGTTCATTGACAACAATGCTCGTTTTAGCACTCTTTTCGAAGCTCTATTTAATCAGTGGGCCACTTTGGGCACACCCACAGAATTAAAACGAGCTAGCTTCACTAAATTTTACTTGTGTACTCCTCTAGGCCTAATTAGACTGCATACTTTTTTTTTTTTTTAAATCAAACTCCGACTTTAAAAGGTTGCGTGCCGGAAAGGGTTAAGTACGACTGGGACATACGTGTCCCAACCTCCGGCTTAAAACCGTTTATCCCCTTCCCCACAAAAAAATCCCAAATCCAATTTACTTTATTTAGAACATATTTTTTTCACTTGCATAGAAAACGGGGTAATTTTTTTTTTTTTATTAAATTCTTGGTCAAAGGGTTAAGAATGTTTAGTTATCTTAAGTATTCTGTGAAGTAGCGCGTATTGTCAAAGAAAGTGCTTCCGTATGATAGTCAATATTTTAAACTGCAGCATTGAATTCGATTTAGCAAAGCACGACGAAAAGAAAGTTTAAGAAGTGGTGACTAAAGCAAGTTCGGATTTGAGAAAACAAAATGGAAATATCTTAGAAATGAAATCAGAGTAAAGCCCCTGCACCTGACCCTTGTCTTTGTACGTTACTGATACGAACTCGCCAAGAAAGAGGATGAATCCTAATGACTCATACGAATATTCTAGCAACTAAACATTGAAGCTGCTAAAAATGGTTAAGCAGCCTTGAAAATCTTGATTCAGACGATTGGTGGTAACCTTTATTTCAGAGGTGACGTGAAAAATGCCCCTCTAACAGAAAAACTCCGACGATCTGTTTCCTGTCTGCGCTGTGACGACGTCCAAGCCGAGGCGTGCGCCGGTCGGTGAGTTCTGCGAAGTATCGAAACTTAGGGTGACAAGAAGAGAACTCTTCCTCGAAGACCTGGTTTGAGTTTAAAAATATAAAGTTGCGAAATGAAATGTGTTGTGTCAATAGCCGAGATGGGCATTAGGGGATATGCTCCTTGTGTTTTATTTCTTTGTTTAAAAAATAAGGTTTTAATTAAAAAAAAAAAAGTATATATATTGTTTAAAAGTTCGTGTAGGAAGTACCTTCAAAAGATTTAATTTTACTTGCGGAATCATATTTTTTTTCCTCTCTATCCATTTTGTTTTTTAGGCTCTGCAGTTGTACCGTAAATGGGGTATGACTACATCTGACCATTTTTGAAGTTTTATATTAAATCTTTGATGGTTAATTTCCATTCCTGTCCATCTTGAAGGAAATCATGTTGGTATAAAAATTGTCAGATGTGGGCTAGTTGAAGAATTCGTTCCTCCCCTAAGGCTGCTTCGAATTAATTATTCCTTCACTAAAATGCATCTTCTGTTTAATAATTCTTAATATTTTAAAAAGAATTTTTTTCCCGTACAGTTTTGATTTAGTTTAAATGTTTTTGTGGTGGAAGTTGTTTTACTTACGCTCACTTGTCTGACCGCCCACGAAATACCTCGTGGCAAGGAGCGGTGGTTTACGCCTGTCATGGGCCCATGAGTAAGTTTTTGGTGGGTGCAATTCTGCTTGCCAGCTATTAATTATCACTGTAATAGTACCATTTTGACACATATGTGACCATGCAGATTTTGTTGATTAAATCCAAAGAACGCATGCATTTCTGTTACCACTTACCTCTGGAGAGGTTTTGTACCATTGTGCAGACATTCTAATTTAATGTCATGCATCCCAGTTCTGATTGTCAGCGTACCAGAAGACTGAATTCGAATTCTTGTTGCTAATGCTCAATTGTCTGATATAGTCAGCCCAAGCCCACAAAATTCCTCTTGGCATGGAGCGCAAGTTTACGCCTGTTGTTGACAACAGCCTTGATAACCTTACAGCTGACAGTCCGATATGGCACCCCCTCCCCAATTTTGATGGAGAGCATCCGGGTGGACAGGTCCGAGGTCTCCCATCCATCTTCTCCTACCACCAATCTCTCGCGAAGACTTCCGGCTCGCCGCATGTTTAGAGTGTTTCCATGCCGCACGAACACTATGCATTTACAAATATCCATTCGTTCTCCGGGATTTGAGCCCGGGCCCTTCGTCACGGCAGTCAGCGACGCTAACCACTATACCGGTGGGGCGACCACTCTTGCGCATTTATGTAGGAACTGCTTCTCTTAACCGTTAATTATACTGTCTGGGCGGTTCGGTCTTCAAATTGAAAGCCCGCCCCCAACTTCTAAAAAGTCACAGCAAGAACAAGTGTGGATATTAATAAACGAGTTGAAGATTTTAATTTTAATGAAGATAAGCTGACGATTTTAAGTGTCAGTTTTCCTGTCCTTTAGCAGTGGATTCAAATTGAATAATGCAGGACCCTGAACTATTAAATGGTCGAATTTCACGGTCACAGTAATGTATGTTTCTTAAAATTATCATGTAGCACTTCTTCCTTTTGCATTAAACTAAGAGAAAGGCTTGGCAATGTCTTCTGTAGAAGAGATGTGTTAATCGTTACTCTCCTCGTGCTGCTCAGTGCTCATGTCTTTAACGTTAAATTCATGAATTCTTCAGTGTGACTGTGGGCAACATATTAAGTATTTCTCCCACTTTCCTAGCGTGCCTTCGTGGTGTAGTTGTTCTGCACGCTGGGCCGGTATTCCAGAGGAAGTTTTTATATGTCAGCCAGGAGTACTAGCAAGCAAGGCAGCTAATGGCTAAGTTTCGATGTATAAATAGTAATATTACTGAAATTAAAATTTTCTTATTTTGAATATTGCCATACGTTTAAGAAAAATATTAACAATATTTTCTTCCAAATATGATGGACATTTATCATTTCGGTGCGTCATCGCAACCCCTCCGCCAACTTAATTTTTAATGTTTAATTTTTTTGTGTGTGAAGCAAGCATTTTCTATTGTTTGAGTGCTGTTCTACTAAACTCGAAACCTTATTGAGGGACTTTCCCTCTTTCAACCTATCTTCTTTGTAGGTTTCGATAAACTAGGCCATCTGCGGCCGTTCTTCCGTGAGTATGAGATAGAACCTAATTGTTATGTTGTAAAATTTTGTAATAGGACACCTTTCCGTTTAAATTCAACCGTTCTTTTTCTTCAAAATGGGGATTTTCACCTTTGAAGTGCTAGAAATTAAGATTGAATATGCAATTGTTATGAAATAATTTAAATATGATCTCTTAAAGTAGAACTTCCATCGA